ATATAGATGAAATTGTCAGCTTTTCAATCTTTCTCCTCAATAATTATATTTCTATTTCTTAAATGATTTGATGGGACCTAGGATTGATTCAGCTTTGATTTCAGAAATGATGGTTCTAGTTGAGCGGGGTTTATACTGCACTAGAAACAGTTTTTCTGTAGTTGATGGTTAGAATGCCAGAACTGAAGTTACATTGTAGGATCTGAGGTCCTAGAGAGGATAGCATTCTAATCCCTACACACACACACACACACACACACACACACACACACACACACACACACGGTCTCTTCCTGTGTACACACAGCCCCACATTCTTTAGTCTTTAGGAAGCAAAGCTGCAACAAGGATATTTGTGACATCAGAGGAAGGTGTAAATGGCCTCCTTGCCATTGTTCAAGGCAGCGTTACTTCCACCGGGGGCTGTAAGAAGTGGGTTGTGAGCTTCTGATGGCAGAAAAATAGTAGAACCAAAGAAAAATTAAAAATGGATTTTTTTTTTTCAGGGGGAAAAGACAAACTGCCAGCTACTGGTAAACTAGTCAGGAACCAGTAGAGTAAAAGCATGCTCAAAATAAGAAGTGGGAAATAGCCATAAAATCAGAGAAAACTGAAAGGATAATAGACTCTTTTCTTCAATTCTATATGAATAAATTTAAAAATTTCTCAGAGAATGTAATTTATTAAAACTACTGACAGGAAAAGATTTAACTTTGGATGGTGGACACAGGGTGCAATATACAGATCTTATATAAATCTACACCTGAAACTTAGATGTTCATGTAGACCAATATCACTCTAATCAATAAAAACAAATAAATAAAATAGAAATTGAACAGCCTGGCTAGAGTAGCTCAGTTGATTGAGCATGGTCTTTGGCAGGAAAAGGTTGCTGGTAGGGCACCTGCATGGGTTACGGGCTCAATGTATCTCTTAGCATATTCTTGGGTGAGGATTAAAAAAAAAAAATTTAAGCAGATTTCCATAGAAAAAATTGTCTCGCCCCAAATTACCACAATACATTGTTGCATGGGCCAATGCTACCACACCTTCATAAAGCTTATAATTCTGATGCTTAGCACTAGAAAACCTGGAAAAAGAAGAAAACTTGTAAATAGTTTTTATCAAGCTAATAAAATTGATAGACTTACACAGCCCAAACTGGTTTGGCTCAGTGGATAGAGCGTCAGCCTGTGGACTGAATGAAGGGTCTCAGGTTGGAGTCTGGTCAAAGGCATATACATTGGTTGCGGGTACATCCCTGGTGGAGGGTGTGTAGAAGGCAGCTGATCGATGCTTGTCTCTCATCAATGTTTCTAGCTCTCTATCCCACTCCCTTCCTCTCTGTAAAAAATCTATAAATATATATTTTTTAAAAAGAGACTGACACAAAGAAAATGAAAGTCCTATCTCACAAAGGAATATTAATGCAAAAATCCTAAATAAAATGTTATCATCCTCCCATGGACTAAGGGGTCCCAGGTTCGATTCCTGTTCAGGGTAGATGCCAGGGTTTGGGGCTCGATCCCCAGTAGTGGGTGTGCAGGAAGCAGCTGGTCAATGGTTCTCCCTCATCATTGATATTTCTCTCTCTCTCTCCTTTTCCTTTCCTTTCTGAAATCAATAAAAATGTTTAAAAAATAAAATAGAAAATGAAATATTATCAATATAAATTCACCAACTTAAGTGGACTTTAAATGGTGATGAAGACATGATTTACAGTGGTGAACACATAATATACAGATGATGTATTATATAATTGCACATCTTAAATATGTATCATTTTATTAACCAATGTAACCCCAATAAATTCAATAATAATAAAAAAAAAAACAGCCAAAACCGGTTTGGCTCAGTGGATAGAGCATCTGCCTGCGGACTGAAAGGTCCCGAGTTTGATTCCGGTCAGGGGCATATACCTTGGTTGTGGGCATATCCCCAGTAGAGGGTGTGCAAGAGGCAGCTGATCGATGACTCTCTCTCATCGATGTTTCTAACTCTCTATCTTTCTCCCTTCCTCTCTGTAAAAATTCAATAAAATATATTTAAAAATAAATAAATAAATAAATAAATAAATAAATAAATAAGTAAACCAAAGTCTTGTCCTCCACTTTCTATCATGATTAAATCATGAGCACAGGGAAGAAAGGTGATGGATAGAAAGACCTGCTTTGTAAAAATGTCTAATCTATGGATTAGTATTTTAATGCTAAAGTATATATACAACCCACTGGGGAAAATAGAGACCTAAGATAGAACAAACAATCTGATTAGTGTTGTCCCAATGAATTCTTATCTGTAATTCACTGGGACAACGCTTATTCCCTGGAGAAAGGCACATTCGTATCAATTTTATACTCGAGGAACCTGGGGCTCAGGGTCATTTGTATAATATTAACAGACTGGATATACAAGTGGGAGTTGTCCAAAACTCTATAAAAATAGATCTCTGATTCACAACCTACAGCAATTAATGCAAGAAACCAACCCATAATCCACAGTAACCGGCCCAGGAAGCCAACCTGCCATAAATCAGACCTAAAGGAAATCAGACCGCTATTTCCGGTAACAATCCAGGAAATCAACAACACCGGTTAATAATCGACATCCAATCTCTAGGATTTGGTGAATAACTTTTAGCTTCCCTCATTTTCATCCCCACTTCCAATTTAGGACCAACCAAGAGGAAACCAAGTATGTTCCCCTAGTTAACAAGAACTCCACTTCTAGTTAATCCCGGAGCCTCCCTCTTCTCCCACGGCAAACCTTTCCCCTCCTTGCTGCCTTGGAGTCTCTCTCTGCCGAAATGCAAGTGACGCGGCTGATTCCTGACTAGCCTCTGCTTGTTCTAACCTGGTCATCTTCATTGATTCCCACAACTCGCCCAGCCATCAGCTATTGTGCGGCCGGTCAGGGTTTGGAACCAAGACCCATCTGAGCCCATGCTTCTTGCACTGTACCACCTGTCTGTTTTTGGAGCCTGCACCACCAGTAGACACCAATGAGAGGCACAGGCATTTGATTTGGCGCAGTTTATTATATTAGTATGTATATAAAACCATGTGAATGCCACAGAGAATCCATTGATCCTCCACAATAACCACCGGATAGTCTGTGACATTCCAGCACCCTGGGCATTATAACATTTATATTTTTCACAGAAAGTTATAATCATACAAGATTATAATACATCATTAGTTGTTGTTGTTTTTGGTCTATGTTTTCTGTAAAACAAACAAACATATTTTCCTCTTTGGCAAAAGAGGCGAAACCCCCCCACAGTGAACTCACGAAGCACACTTAAATGACAGCCAGGACAATGAGGTACAGCTGAGGTGTGGGCTCACGGGGAGTTAGACACATACGCTGGGTTCCTGACAAAACCAGTCCAGTCCCCAACCATCTCAGCCTCAGATTCGGCCTCGGTCCCTCCTGTAAGGACACGCAGAGTATAATGTGCTATTTCTGGAACAAAAAACAACAACAAAAAGGCACAGAGCGTGTGGGCGTCTGACCTCAGCAATATTTTCACTCTGAGGTACAAAAGCATCCGGCACAGTGATGCAGACTGGCATCGCTGTGCCACCTTCATTTCGTTGGGGGAGCCAGCTCTCTTGGCTGCTGCTCAGCACTTGGCTTTGCAGAGAGTGTGTCAAGGTGGATGTGCATGTGAAAGCCGGTCTCTGCCAGGTCTGACCTGAGGGAGCAGCAACGTGTGATGAAGGCAGTTCCCCTGGGAGGCGGGTTCTGGGGCAGGGCAGGGAGGCCCCCTGCAGGCACAGGCCTGCCCAGTGCAGGCCCAGACCCACCACCACACATCCACCCGAACCGGGATTTCCAGGCCCCGCAGTTGCTGAGGTGGTTGAGTGTGTGTTTGTGTTTTTAATCTACAATCATAATGGCTAACAACCACCCTGGTGTGCTTTTCATGCTTCAAGTAATTTTAATTCCTTCCAGGAGAAGAATGCTAGCAATGCTTTTAGTTCTAGTTATCAAAGGAAAGGAAATGAGCCAGAGCAATAAGACGAAGCCTACACAGACCTGCTGCTAACAGTATCAGAGGAGCTATCTTGAACAAAGGAACACGAACACAGTATGATAGACGTGTCTGCAGTAGCTGCATTCTCCCACGTCACCGCGTGCAGAACCAACCTCGGGCGAAGCGAACGTAAGTTACTTTCATTCTCCCTAAATACAGCTCCGTACAGACTGCACATGGTACACCCGAGCAGCTCAGTATCACAGTGTGAGACAGGAAAATGCTGTCTAAAAAAAAAAAATCCCCCCCCTCTACCCCCATTTTTCTAGCCTTAACAGAACCCCACAGGCTCCCGCCCAAAGGGTCAGAACAAAACCAGCCGCACAGCTTTGTAAACAGTATGAGGTGGTCGCTGGGATTCCACTGCAGGATCCTATTAAATCACTCATGCACACTCATAACCACACATACACAATCACACACCCAGCCACCTACACTCACAATCACATACACACATACACTATACACCCACACAATCACACACACACACACAGACTACATCCACCCACTAACACTCACAATCACATACATTACATACACACACACACACACTCACAATCACACATACACTACCCATACACAATCACACACCCAACCACCTACACTCACAATCACATACATTACATACACCATACAATCACATACACACATACACTATACACCCACACAATCACACACAATCAATCACACACACACACACACACACACACACACACTCTACATCCACCCACTAACACTCACAATCACATACATTACATACACACACACAATCACACGCACACCCCCCTCCCTTCTCCCAGGGCCGCCCAGCGCCGTGCTCAGTACCACAGCAGGCTCCTTTCACATTGTGTGCGCATTGTGTGCGCATTGTGTGCGCATTGTGTGCGCATTGTGTGCGCATTGTGTGCGCATTGTGTGCGCATTGTGTGCGCATTGTGTGCACACTGTGTGCACATTGTGTTCACAGGAGAGCGGTCACGGCCGTGGGGCTGAGGGGCTTGAGGCAGTCTCGGGGGGCTGAGTAGGCGTCGTGCAGGGGGTGCCGGCCGTCGGGCACTGCAGCCTCCGCGGGTGAGGGCGCTCTGGGCAGGTCGTAGCCGGGGCCGGGGCCGGGGCCGGGGCCGGGGCCGGGGGGCGCCGGGCTCTGCGGGCTCTGGTAGCCCTGGTTCTCGGCGCCCTCGCCGGCTCCGGGCGGGCGCGGGGGCGCGGGCACGCGGTAGCCAGGCTGCGCCGGGAGGGGGCGCCCGCGGGGCCGCTCCACGATGGGCGTCGCGTACTCGGGCTCCGCGTGCGGCAGCGGCAGCGCGTACTCGTGGCTGCGGGCCAGCGGGCAGCGGTAGTGGGCGCCGGCCCCCGCCTCCTGCGCCTCGGTGTCCATGGGCCGGAAGGTGGAGCCCTTCCTGGTGACGGTGCCGGTGCCGATCATGAGGGGCAGCTGGTAATCTGAAAGCCAAAGCGCAGAAGACCCGTCACTGGTGCACCCACCGCGCGGCACCCGCACGGGCAAGGCAGCTGCTGGCAGGGGAGGGTGCCCTGCGCAGGGCCTGTGGGCCAGGCGCCAGGAGGGAGGCCACGATGTACCAGGCGAGGTGGGTCCTGGCTGGGAGATGCTCATCTCTGCCCCTGAGGCCTCTTCCCACTGGCACCTCCAGACTCTGACAGGTGCCTGCACCAGCTGGGCACTGCCGGCCTGGGAGGCCCGGGGCCTGGCCTGAAAAGCTGCGTCTCCAGGGAGCTCCCCACGCTGCTGACCCTCCGCACGCACTCTGAGAAGCCAGAAGCTGCTCCGAGTGTGGTCTGGAGACGCCTGCATCTCCTGAGAACTGCCTGGGACAAATCTGCAGAGAGGGCCACACGAATGGAGAGCCAGTGTTTAGGAACCTACAGCAACCGGAGAGAGTAATTTTACGTCCCTTGAGTCTAATAAAAAAAAAAAAAAATTAGAGCTTTGTAAACTGTCTGTCTTTTTGAAAACGTCATTACAACTAATTCATATGGTGTTTTAGGAAAGTATGAGTCCTGGATGGGTTAGAAATTTAAAAAAACAAAAAACAAAAGCAAAAATTGGATCTTTCCACACAGACAGTTTGAAAAGCTTAACCCCCAAAGCTTGAGGATCAGGGATGCCCAGGCCATTCTGACACTGGACAGGTTTTTCGCCTCTTATCTCCTCTCCTCAAGGGCAGAAGCTGCACTTAACTCATTGTTAGTCCCTCTTTCCTAGTACTTTAATGAAAACCTACAACAAAACAGATTAATGAAGAGTTTCCAGATTTCAGTGGAACTTCGGGGCCATTGCTTTGGGTGTCATTGCAGCCCCTGCAGGTATAAGAACCTCCTCGGCTGAACAGGGCTCTTGAGAAATACCTCAGTGTCAGTTTGCAACTCTGCACAGAATGCAGAAAGAAAACTTCACGCATTACTGATGTAAATGTGTGTGTGTGTGTGTGTGTGTGTGTGTGTGTGTGTTTATTGATTTCAAAGAGAGGAAGGGAGAAGGGGAAAGAGATAGAAACATCCATGAAGAGAGAGAATCATCCATCCGCTGCCTCCTGCACGCCCCCTACTGGGGATTTGGCACACCACGTGGGCATGTGTGCTGACCCAGAATAGAACCATGACCTCCTGGTTCATGGGCCGACACTCAACCGCTGAGCCATACCAGTTGGGCAACACATTACTGATTTAGAGGCCCCCATCTAACCAGCAGGATTTCAGTCTTGTTTTTCTCCTGGTCTTCCCTCTCCCATAAGTAGAGGCCCGACACTTACCCGCCATATCCCTGGTGATGAGATCTAACTTCTGTGTCGCCTCCTTTTCATTATCATAGCTGATGGTAAACTCAGCCGACTGGTGCCTGGCGAAGGGATATTTAATCTGCTTCCAACAGTCTGGTACAAAGATGACAGGAAATAAGGCGATAGCTTAGAAGTACAGCACGCATTCTGCACGGCTCCATGCTGTGTTCCTCCATGAGCCACAGGCCAGGCTGCCTTCTGCCGGCTGACCTTGTGATGAACTCACAGGCAAATACCTCACGTGTGTGTGTGGTAGACACAGCACACCGAGGGTGTCATAGCCACAGCAAACACTATCCCAGCCATGCATTCCACTGTGCCTTTAAAATGTATCTGTGGGCCCATCAGGTCCCATATCTTCCCAATGCTAGACTCCCTGGCTTTCTATGGCATTTGGGACCCAAGGAATCAACACAGCTGGCTGTTTAGACCCGATGGAAGCTGAGTCCGGAGCTGTGTCTGAGATTCTCAGGGGCCCTGGCCCGTGGCCCTCTCTCGGGACTGCTGCTGACACCTTGCTTGGGCATCTTGTGTCCTAAGGATTCTCCAAAGCCCAAACACAAACCCTGCCTAGTCCTGCCCCCACCTTCCCAGACAGCAAACTACAAGGGAAGCCTGCGGGTGCTGAGTGCTGGACAGTGTTGAGTTCACAGTGCACAGATGGTGCTTTTATAACTTCTCCTTGGTTATAGGCAACGTGTTGGCCTCAATTCCAGTGCCAAAAAGAAGAATAAGGAATGTTGATTAAATGATGGGATGATGTTGAACAAAAGGAGAGTAAACTGCTCCTAAAAACTCTGAATTAAAAAGATGAGACACAATATATTCTTTCCTTATAAATCTGTAAAGGCTATAGATTTTATTTAAAAAACAAAACAAAACAAAACTGAATGGTGCTTTTAATCAGCAGATCTTATCTCTTCCTCAAAGAATAAAGTTGAAGACAGAAATTTCAACCCACCTGTTTTTGAGGCTTTCACAGATGCATATGGAGTTCCTTTCTTCTTCCTCCTAGCAAGACAAGAAAATTCACTGAAAAGGTTTCTACATGGTAAGTACTGTTTATAAAATAATACTTGAAACTTTCAACCTCTAACCAACATGTTTGTAAAATACAAGTTAATATTTTATCTTGGAAGGAGCAATGTTGTCTTTCTCCACATAAGCATCTACAGGGTAAACTTTAAAAAAAAAATCTATATTTTATTGATTTTTTTTTTTTTTTTTTTTTTTTTTTTTTTTTTTTTTTTTTTTTTTTACAGAGGAAGGGAGAGGGATAGAGAGTTAGAAACATACTGGGGATGTGCCTGAAACCAAAGTACATGCCCTTGACCAGAATCGAACCTGGGACCCTTGAGTCCACAGGCCAACGCACTATCCACTGGGCCAAACCGGTCAGGGCTAAACTTTTGTTTTTGTGATTGTTTCCATAAGTAGGGGAGAAATATAAAATCACGTACTTTTTAAGGACTGCTAAGATTCCAACAATCAGCAGGGCAAGGAGCAGCAGCGGACCAGCCACTATTGCGATGTTTGCTCCTAAGAGTGGAAGCATCACATTATAACAGAAGAGACCTGCAACCACATTTCACTATCTAAAACTCAACCCTGATTTGAAAATCCTTCCAAGGGTTAATGCATGAGGAAATGAGTACATGCTAGGCATTTATGGACATTGGAAAGCAAGAAGAAAGAATTCAAAATTCTGGTTAAGGTTTAGAGAAATAAAATGTATTCCCTTCTCCCTACTTCCAAAGCAGTTTTTTTCTTATTACTATTAAATAATTTTTTAAAAAATTTTCAGTTACAGTTGACATAGAATAGTATATTAGTTTCAGGTGTAAGACATAGTGATTAGATATTTATATAACTTATGAAGTGATCACTCCGATACATGTAGTAGCCATCTGACACCAGATAGTTACTATAGTTATTTACAATTTGTACACTTTAATCCTTTCCCCTTTTACACCCACTCCCCACCCCCCATCCCATGAGTCTGTTTCTTTGTTTATTTTGTTGTTGTTGTTTTAGATTCCACATAGAAATGAAAAAGCATGGTAGTTGTTTTTCAATGTCTGACTTGTTTCACTTAGCAGATTACCCTCAGGTCCATCCATCCGTGTTGTCACAAATGGCAGGATTTCATTTCGAAAGGCAGTTTTCAATGTTCTCTGGGGATGAACATTTACTCTGAGCTTGTTACTTGGTCTACATTAGACTCCCGAAGTCAGAACGGAGGGAAGGTGTAAAGCTGTCCCACCCAGCTAAGAGCTATTCAGGCAGGTCAAGAATTCAGCCGCACACAGCTGCTCCCTCAGCTTAAGCAGCCAGTTCCCCCTGATAGTGGGCAGTTGGGACCTGGACCATATCAGAGGCCTGGGGACCTGGGCTTCTGGTTACCAGAGCTTTGGACTCGAAGGAAATACAGCCTGCTGGCCTCAACTAGCAGTTCCGCCCCGCTGCACGAAACAGCAGACCATGTCTTCCTACGGCTCTCTCTGCTTTAGAACAGGAGGCCACTTTACCGGTACCGAGGCAGGCCCCAAGCTTATAGGGACTAAACAAACGACTCAAAAGGAGCAGTGTTTGTTCTCACCTTCTCTACCTGTGACTCTTGAGAAGAAAATATAGAGACAACCAGGAGTGGAAAAGTGTTGCTCATGCAAGAAAGGGTAAGGAACTTGGAAATTTACAGAAATATCCTTGGTGTTTTCTTATAAAAGTAAACATTTTGGGAAAATTTAACAACTTAAACATCTAACCGACAGGGAATGGTTAACTAAATAACGGTATTTCCATTTGAAAAGATACTACTACAGATACGAATAATTATGCTTTTCAACTATTTACTAACATTGAAAATGCTCAGAATATCATGTTAAGTGAAAAATACATGCTACAAGACAATAAAGGCTGTGCTATCATTTTATCTCAAAGTTATAAATATAAGTATAATTTATTTGATATAGTGGAATTTGGTGATTATCTATGGAAGCTGATCATAGCATTTATATTTATATTATTTATATTTTTCTAATCTTTCCAAATTTTATAAAATTAATATATAAATTATTTATATACTGAAAAAAGAAATGTCCTTTTAATGTTCATTAAACAAATAAATTATATACACTTATATGTTTAGAATTCAAAAAGTGTATAAGGGTATAGAATAAATGTATATCTCTTATCTCTATTTCTCCTCCACAGAAAGCCAAATTATGTTTCCTGACATTGTTCCAGAAAAACTAGAATATATACATCTTTATTTTTCCTTTTTTTTTTTTTACACATATATTACAGTGCTAGATAGACTGTTCTATACCTTGCTTATTTATTTAAGTTGTCAATTTATCTCAGAGAACTTTCTAGATTACTAACACATTTTTTTCAATGGCCAAAGAGTATACTGTTGCATGGATGTATCATTATTTTCCCATAAAAGATTTACCTAGCATTTGAAGGGCAAACACTAACCTTTCTACTTACAATACCACAATGAGTAGCTGTAGGCATACATCATTTACACATGTGCAAATATCTCTGACACATCTGCTTCCAGCCATTTATATGACAAAGAAAAGAAATTCTGTTAAAGCTACTGTGATATCGGATGGAGCACCAGTTATACTCCTGAGGAAATCACAAAACATAAGTGCTCTACCTGTGGACATTTCTCCAGAGGGGATGAGTTTTGTGATTGTCTCATCTTCTCTTTCTGTGGCATCTGAACTGGTTTTGCGCCACACCAATGAATCGTTGCCTGGGAGAGAAGAGATATTGGAAAAAACCACATTCGTGACAACAGTTTGGGAAAGGAGATGGCCACCATCCAATTACTTACTAACTCACCGAGACTCCTACCTTGTGTAACCGGGCAACCAAGGAGCTCCACCTTCAAGGCGATCTTCTGGTACCACGTCTGGGGGATGACCCGCAGGTATCTGGCCACGATGGGAGGGATGAAATTGTTCATCACTGGGTCCCGAAAATTCAAGTTGCCCCGAAACACCTGTGGAAACAGGTAACCTTCTCCTGAAGATTCTATTAGTCAGTTTTTTATTAACCCACTAGAGGCCCAGTGATTGAAATTTGTGCACGGGTTGGGGGGAGGGTGGTGTCCGTCAGCCCGGCCTGCACCCTCTCCAATCTGGGACCTCTCGAAGGATATTCTACTGCTGGTTTGGGCCTAAACTGGAAGTTGGACATACCTCTCACAATCTGGGACTGCTGGCTCCTAACCACTCACCTGCCTGCTTGCCTGATTGCCCCTAACCACTTTGCATGCTGGCCTGCTCACCAAAAAGGTGCGTGCGGGCCCCCTTCCCTCCCCAGCCTGATCACCTCCAACTGCCCTTTGGTGCCAGTGTGCTCGCCTCTAACTGCATTCCTGCCAAGCCTGCTTGCCCTCAACTGCCCTTACTGCTAGCCTGCTCCCCCTCACCTTCCCTCCCCACTGGCCTGCTCGTCCCCAACTGCAACCCCCTCTCCCCCGCTATTCTAATCACCCCAACTGACCCCCACTGACAACATGCTTGCCCCCAATTGGCCTCCCTGCTGGTCTTTCACCCACAACTGCCCTCCCCTCTTGGCCTCTAACTGCCTCAACCGGCTTTGTCCAGAAGAACATCCAGAAGGTCTCCTGGAAGTTCTCCCAATCTAATTAGCATATTACCCTTTTATTAGTATAGATTCATACCTGGCTCCATGAAACCAAAGCCAGGATTCTATGTCTGTTGCATTTTTTAAGACACTCTTGATATTAAAGATACAAGGTTCTGCAAAGAAAGGCCAAGTTACCTAACTAAGCTGGCACTGAGAATCTGTTTTCTGGAAGCATGCTGATAAAACGTATGGAGGCTTGGTCTCCTGCTCAGTTCTTTTCCCCCGAGTTTATCTTACCTTCTTTTCATTATTCACAATTCCTTTGTAGGTCCTCCACCTGGAGTTGTTGGTTTTGAAGTTCATCATAAAACTCTTAACATAGAAGTTGAAATTTGGATATGTGGATTCTGTGGTCCGAATCCCTTGTAAAAAAAAACATTATTTTTAATGTTTTTAAATCATGTTACAGACAGCATGTATTTTAACTTCAGGTTTCTTTTCTCCCTTACTCATGTGAAATCTCTAATCGTTTCACCGGTCAACGTGTCTTATTTTCATTGAGAAACCTGATAGCTGATGAGTGTTTTCACACTGAGATATGCCATAGACAGTTTCACCATGGAGGTGTCAGCTCTCTGGCACATACATTCATATTGACCACCCACATGCAGGTTCTTCCACCGAGACAATGTGGAGATTAGGATGCAGTAGACTTTGAGGCATCTATTTAGTCAGAAACACAACTGCAACCCCAAGTCATTTTGCAGTTGTGAGACTGCACTTGTGTCAGTACCTGTTATTTTCTTCTCCTCTCCCAAATCTATTTCCAGCCACTCTTGTTTGTGGTTCTTGCTGCTGTTTGCCAAAGACCATGACAGGCTGTGGTCCTGATGTCGGGCGTGGCCAGAAGACCAATGAACTTGTTCTCTAAACTCATCGTCCCACTGCCAAGAATCTCTGACTTGCCCATCTGCTTCCAAACGTAAGGATGTGCTGCAACCTAGGAGAAAAGAGCACTGAAATACTTCAGATATAAAACCTAGAAATAGTTGTTTTATTTCCATTGTGATAGCAAATCCATTATTCAATTGCTAGTGTTTGAATGACTCAGTTTGCATTTGACTCCCTTGTACTACATATCTTAAAATGGTTGCTGCTTTTGTTTCCAATGGACTTTATGGAAGTCACATTCCCTAAAAGTGACATCTCTTAGCCCCTAGTGTAGACTTCCCTTTCTGACCTAAATTCATCCTGATTTTAATCAAGTGCAAGGGGCCTTAAAGGCTTAAAATGCTGAGGTTCTTGTCTATTCTACACTCGGTACCTTGAAGAGCAGGTACGTCAGCTGCTCTGAAGATCAGTAAATTGTACATGACATCCATCCTTTGGACTGTCCATGTCCAAGGCAATTGGAGGGTCCATGTAAAGGCCACACTCCTCTTCCTGGACAAGGAAGACATCATATTGTTCTTCTTAAATATCACACTTTACGAGATGGAGAAGATTACACAGAGTACCTTAAAAAGCCTTTATTTTATATACTCATGTTCGATAACTTGATTCAAGAAACCTACCAACCAAGTCGTACTATTTAAAAGCTTTTCTGGCCCTGGCCGGGTAGCTTAGTTGGTCTGAGTATCATCCGATATGTCAAGGTGCGGGTTCAATCCCTGGTCAGAACATATAAAGGAAGCAACCAATGAATGCATAAATAAGCAGAACAAAAAGCAGACCTCTCTCTCAAATCAATAAAAAAAAAAAAATCTTTAAATAATTTTCTGTTAAAATCGAACATGGAATTTATCTTAAAATAAATGTCATTTCAAATTTTCATTCTTTTTTGGCAAAAGTTTGAGAGAGCTTAGATTATAAAGAAATATATTTTCTGCTTAACATTAATATTAATTAAGCTTATTGTCTTGTGTATTATTAAGTCATAGCATACTTGGCAATGTGTGACCTGAGGGGGGGGAAAACCCCAAATCCTTTAAGCTGTATCACCTGAAGGATATGGAAGAATAAACTACCATGAGGAATTGGAAATATCAAATTCCTAAGAAAAGCATGATCCTTACCGTTGGAGGCAAACAGAAATCGCTTGTCTGACAGGGAACCACTGAAATAGGAAACACAAACAGAAAAAGTGAGCTGCTTACCTGGCTGTTAACGACTGGCACAGCACGATACCTGGTAGCACAGGACTCACAGTCTCCCCACAACCCATGTCATCGGCATAGCCCCCAGCAAGTCCACTGATATCAGCCCCATCACTAGCATTCAGCATCAGGCCCAGCAAAGGTAAGCAACTTTTCTAAATTCATCTAGGTGACAAGTGAGCAGGACTCTAAGTCACTGCTTATGAATAAAAATCATTGTATTTGAGAAGAAATGCACAGATGTAGAGTTTCAGAAACAACCTTAAATCCCAATCCTATATAATAAAAGCCTAATATGTTAAGTGTCCAATGTTTGGACCAGTCACTATGACATGCACTGGCAACCAGGGTGCAGGCACTCTGATTGGTAGGTTAGCCTACTGTTGGGGTCCACCCCAGAGCCCTCCCACAGTCTCTCCCCAGCCCCAATCATGCACCAGTGGGTCCTTTGGCCTGGCCCTGCACCCTCTCACAATCTGGGATCCCTCAGAGGATGTTGGAGAGCTGGTTTCAGCCCGATCCCCACAGGCCAGGCCAAGGGACCCCAAAGGTGCATGAATGCATGCACTGGCCCTCTAGTTAATTAACACAATGCAGACAGATCATGAGAATTCTCACTTCATATTACACAGTGTTTTACAAAATATCGTACTTACCTAGTAAAAAGATATTAACTTGTAAGAACATGTAATAAAAACTTCAAAATGCAATGGGTATTTAATTTTAAAGCGTGCCATTACCATTTATGTAAAATGTATTTTGTACTTGTTCAATAGAAACTTATCTGGCCACTGGGTAAAGCTAGCAGTAAAACTACGAGTCCACAGTGTGTTCATATATGATGATAGAGGCAGAAAGGATCACTGCCCTGAATACTTCCTTTGGTTCAGCATTCACCATAAATGTCCCACTCACTGTCAACAATCAAAGACCACAGTGAGAAGTGAAGAAGCCTGGCCACTTTTAGAGGAACAGCATGCCATTTGCTAGCTGCCTTCTCTACAGACTTTTCAACTTTTTCCTTAGGGTCCTGCCCTAGAATGTTGCTCTGAACAGCCTCAACCCAGTTTCTCTCTCTGATCGCACAGCACCAAGCCACGAACCAGCGCCTGCTTCAGGATGACAAGATACAGCTGTCAGGGGGAGAAAATTCAAAGCATTTCACTGACTGGCCTGAACTGGCCCTCACTGCTCTAAGACAGCCTCCAGCTCATCGGCATTCAGCTCTGGGTCTCCAGAGCCCTGCTGCTCTACAGCCTGTATGGAGAACTTATTAAATTGGCCTTGTTCTGAGCTTGCCTTCTTCGGAAGAGAAGAGATTTCTAAGACCTAACGCCATATTAAACTTTCTAAAAATCCATCACTAACTCAATGGTGTAAAAAATATAGAGAACCACAATAGAAAATCTGGAGCTCTCAAGATTTATCTCATGTACATAGTACTTACTGTAATAGATACTAGAAAGAAACACAAAAAGGTAGATGTCACCAGCCCTGCATGGCTCGGTGGTTGAGCGTCAATCTATGACCCAGGAAGTCATGGTTCCATTCCCAGTCAGGGCATATGCCCGGGTTGCAGGCTCTATCCCCAGTATGGGGTGTGCAGGAGGCAGCTGATCAATGATTCTCTCTCATCATTGATGTTTCTATTTCTTTTCCCTTTCCCTTCCTCTCTGAAATTAATAAAAATATATTTTTTAAAGATAGATGTCATGTGTGTGGCATTATTTTACAATCTGAGAATATGAGTTACATTTTAATATATATTTTTTAATTGATTTTTTTCAGAGAGGAAAGGAGCGAGATAGAGAGCTAGAAATGTCGATGAGAGAGAAACATCGACCAGCTGTCTCCTGCACATCTCCTTCTGGGGATGTGCCCGCAACCAACGTATATGCCCTTGACTGGAACTGAACCTGGGACCTTTCAGTCCGCAGACCGACGCTCTACCACTGAGCCAAACTGGTTTTGGCATGAGTTACATTTTAAATATCTAACTCTGAATTATATATGGTAATATTGGACAGAGTATGGAACTGAGAAATACACAGAGAACTCCAAAATAGTTAGAAAGAGCATGTGTACCTTCCCAGCAACGTTTTTCTTAAAAGTAACAGGTAATCAAACTCTTTGGATTAATATTCTCTCTCACATTCTTTGTCTACCCTCAGGCAAAGACTCCATCAACCCAGGTACTCTCCATAAGGTTCTGTTATAACCACTGTCCCAAATGAAATGCAGGCCCCATTCATTTTTCTTATGAGAAAACTCAGACCCACTTGGGTCAGGGGACTTGACTAAGTTCACATTTAGTGGCAAAGCTGGGAGGAGGACCCAGCTCTCCTGACCTTTAAGAAAAGATGCACAGTGTTGTGATTCATACTTAAATTTTTATTAAGATTCATCTAGAGCCTTTCTTTGACGGATCTTCCCATCTTCTCTAATGTCCCTGCATTAAGTATTTCACTTGAAATTTGGCCCAAATAAACCCAAACAATACTGCTGCAAGCCTACACTTGGTTCCCACTGCCAGGAAACATTAAGATTTTCTGCTGTTGTTGAAACGGAGAAGTTATGGTAAGAGGGGTAACTTCGGAGTGACCCCTGGAGAAGAAGATGCCAGGAAAGGCTCAGCTTCTAACAGCTCCTTCCTCACTTTCCTCCGTTATCAGCGGGAACGGCTTTTTTTCCATCGCACTCTGTGGAACTAATGGAATATGACCATTTAGAGAATTCCATGGGTACGTGTCCTCTTTTAAAAAAGAAAATGCCCTCGGGATATGGGGGTTCAGAGGCTTTCACAGATTAGGGTGAATGTATTCAATCAGATTCCAGGAACTGCCTGCCTTCCCAGCGGGCCACAGAAGCAATCAAGAACAGTCTGATGTAAACAGAAAGACAAGCCTTCCCGGCCTCCGGTTAGAGCCATCCTCCTCTTGTGAAGTCAGCACCTCTTCCTGATTCCATTCTGGTCTCCCCAGATCCAGGAAGTAGGCTGACCCCGGATGAACCCCAAAAGAGCCCTGGATATTTACTCTAGGGGCTCTCTCTTCCTCCGCTGCAATGCTTCCTTCTGTGTTTTTTCCTGAACACCAAACAATCATGTGTGGGAACAGAAGTTCAATGACCGCACGTACACTGGTTCCCCAAACCGGCACAGATAAAAACAAGTGCTCCCAGAAGATTTGGGAATCTAAATGAATGAAAAAGCCTATCAGCCTACAGTTCACTCCTCTCCTAGAGCAAAAAGTCAGTGCAAAATCAGAGCTAGAAGGAAGAAGGGACCTTGATAGAATTCTGGATTTCCTATCTGCTCACATCAACACAAAAATGGGAATATCTCTTCAAATACGGAATATGAAGCAAACATTTTCCTAATCCATTAGTGGTTCAGATAGTGGTGCTCTTTTTTTGCATTGAAGTTTAATTTCAAATTATATAAAGCAGCTTCGTCTGTATTAAGCTCAATTGATATCGCAGAAGTAATTGAGAACATAATGTTTACTATCACTCAGTGGTTATAATAATTTTTATTCAAAAGTAAAAGAAAATCTTAAACCTTTCCTTACTCCAAACTAACATTTTCAGTTTTGGCCTTTTGAAGTGCTGGGCACATGGCCTTTGGACTGTAACTTAGTGAGCTTAGGCCAACACCCCCAAACCCAGAAATCATTCTTTTGTCTCAAAGTATACTTGTGAGTACACAGATTGGTTCTTTGAAACATAAAATAAATTTTCTTACAAAAACAATGTTATCCTTTGTGGTCAAGATCCTTATTTGACACACAATATTACTAAACTCTAACACATTCAAATAAAAAGTAATAGCGATAGTGCTGTAATTAGCTAGTTATTAATACCAGAAAAGGAACAAAGGGAAGGCCAGGCATTATAAACACAGCATTGGGCAGCTTCCCTGGGAAGCTGCGACTTTACACACCCCAGGGAACCCCCAGCCCATTCCCTCACACCATTGGGGGAGGGGACTGGACAAAGGGGAAGACGGCTGCATGTGCAGTGAGTGGGGGTGAGGTAGGGAAGGTGCCTGTCAGTCAAACCTGGGAACAGAGGTCACTGGCTAAAGGGGGCAGGGCCACTGCAAGCCCGGGAAAATTTGGGAATACATAGTCCTCCAGACAAAGGAGCTCACTCTCTTGGTTTTTCTGGTTCCTTTGGTTTTGTGCTCCTGCTTCCTTGCATTTCCTCGTGTTCCCTCCAAAGCCATGTAGCCTGTGGACCCCACACACAATGGGCTGATGGACTGCACCGGGAACTCAAGCTAAGCCAGCCTGATGCCAGATTGGACTGTGCCCCACCATGGAACGGAAACTCTTGGCAACGGCTTTGATCCCAGCTCTTTTGAGGGTACAGCTACACGTCTCTGGTGGGATGGAGGGAAAGGGGGCCTTGGAAACTCAGGGGTGTCATTCCACAGAAATAAAGCTTCCTATACCAAGGCATCCTCCCATGTGATGTTTAGCCAGATAAGATAGTTCACAACCCATTGTGAAGATGGAATAGTAAAACAGGATCATGTTCTTTCTGCATGCAAGAGGGGGCTAGGGCCGAATGGCAGGGGAGCTATGCACAGCGAGCCAGTGGTGGAATATGTGGGTCCTGACCTACTTTCGGATCCCGAAATGCCTGTCACCTCTGTCTTGTGCTATGTCCTCAGAACCAAGAACATGTGACAACCTGTCAGAAATACCAGAATCGCAGTCATGGGGGGACATTTCCAGGGACAGACAGGGTGTGAGGAAGAGAGATAAACATGGAGGCTCGAAGGGCACTTTTCCCTCACTAGGCAGTCATCCAAGGGGAGCCTCCCTCCGGACCTTCCTCACTGCCTGTTTACATGTGTGGACATCTGGTCCACAGTTGAGCCTATATTTAGTCCTCACAGCCCTAGTTTTCCATTCCAGGAGCCGAGGAAACCTGGAAGCATTAAGAGCTGAGGCTGAAACATTTAAAGTAGTTGACACACTTTTTTTTTTTATGAGGCTACAAAAAAAGCAGAGGATAATACCAAACAGAGAAGTAAACAATGTCAACCAACGTCATTGTTCCTCGCTTCCGAAGTATTATTCATCGTTAAAAGATTGTCTCTAGGAGCCTTCTGGGGAGTGCCGTATTCAGAATGGGCTTACTTCAGCTCCCCAGTCTCCCATCCGTATCTTCAATAAAATGGGAGATAAAGTATAAATTCCTGAAACTGGAAAGACTGAAAAGAAATCAAGTCTTTTGCTCTCCACTAAAGCACCTGAGTAGAAATACTGCTCTGCTCTGGGTCTTTGTATGTGAGCCATTTTAATTTACTTGTCAGCATAACCAGTGAGCTTTTTTTTATTACTGCATCTACCTTCCTCACAGACACTGTAAAATACTACTGTAACACTCACACATATCTTCCCCACAGTTGAAAAACCCTTGGTATCACATATCTGCTGTTCTTTCCTTTAAAAAAAATAATATATATATATATATATATATATATATATATATATAATATATATATATAATTGATTTTTTTTTTTTTTTTTTTTTACAGAGAGGAAGAGAGAGGGATAGAGAGTTAGAAACATCGATGACCATCAGTTGCTTCCTGCACACTTCCCCCTGGGGATGTGCCCGCAACCAAGGTACATGCCCTTAATCGGAATAGAACCTCTGACCTTTCAGTCCGCAGGCCGATGCTCTATCCTCTGAGCCAAACCGGTTAGGGCTGCTGTCCTTTCAAAATTGTGAGCTAATTATGCCTTGGAGTTACCTCCCACTCCAAAGAAAAGTCAAAGTACTTACTCCCTTGAGAGCACACCATTGGACAGGATTCCTTGGTATCGACTTAACCCTTTGTGCTGGAACACGCTGATCTGACCGCCCAGTTCATCTGCAATGATCCCCGCATGGACGGCCGCCTTGCACAGTAGAGAGTTCTGAAACACAGCAACACTGTCACTCATGGCTGACTCAAGAAGACATTGAAAATATACCGGGAGTTTTCCATTTGGTTATAACTTGTGGGCAGCATCTCCCATGGACCCATGGCATTCATTGAAATAAAAAGTAGAAGGGGGAGGAAAAAGTGTTAGTATATCACTATCTCAATGACATCAGAGTCATCATACGTAAGCTGTCTGGGTTGGTAGATAGAGAATTTACGTAGCAATGGTCCTCCCAATGAATAACCCCTTCTGGTGGCCATGTCCTGGTGGAGTTTCCTCCCACACGGACTCTGAACTGGCCATGCAGCTTGTTCTGTGCAGCTGCGCAAGTCAGTGAGGCCACTTTGGACCCTCTGGCCCAGGTCACGTGCCACATGACTGTAGCTGTAGAAGTGGTTCTAGGCTAAGGGAGCTCAAGAATAGACTCCCCGGCAAATCAGAGAGTTATTTTAAGCCAGGAAGGTCTGCGGTGGCTAAAATAGATAACCGTCCAGCAGAAATAGAGAACTGATCAGAGTTTATTACATTCGGTTTACCAGATGTATGTACTGAGGATCATTTGAGAAGGTGAACCTACCCCACCACAAATTCATTTTACAATTAATTTAGAGATTTAAGAAGGCATAGAAGACAAAATAATAACGTCAGACCATGAAACAGCTGCTGTCTGCTGTGATAACCCAGCAGGAGTGCCTGCCTGGCTGTGTAGCTGGTGGGCCTGGGATTAAAACTGGCCTGTTAGAAAGCGGGCCTGGAGGAAGGACTAGAACTTTGCAGCGGATTGCTCAGGTCCTCGGATCCCATGAGCACAGTTCTGTGTGGGAGGATGATTAGATCGAGTGTAACCTGTCTTGCTAGGAGACTTCCTTGTTAGGAAACTCTCCTAGGAAGGCCCCCATGGCAAGGAGCTGAGGACAACCTGAATGCTGCCAACACCATGTGAGCTTAGAAGCAAATCTTTCCCCAGGAAAGTCTCAGAGGAGCCTGCAGACCTGGCTGACACCTTGGCTGCCCCCCTCAGACATGGAAGCAGAGGACTCCGCTAAGCCACGCCCAGACTTACACCCCACAGAACACAAGAGAGAATACAAGTATTGTTTGAAGCTTCTAAGTTTGAGGTGATATCGTTTTGGGGGCAACAGATATCGCATACATCCATGGCATACAAAAAAAGGCACAAATCAGACTTCTCTGAAGAGGTCAGTTTTCCAAATACAAATTTTCCCTCCAGATAAAATCATTCTAAAAGAAAATGGTGTACATGCCCTTGACCGGAATTGAACCAGGGACCTTTCAGTCCACAGGCCTATCAATGTCTCTCTCTCATCGATGTTTCTAACTGTTTATCCCTCTCCCTTCCTCTCTATAAAAAAATCAATAAAATATATTAAAAAATAAAAAAATAAAAAAAAATAAAAGCCAATGGTGTCAAATCAGTGAGTAAGCCAAATGGGAAAACTGTTTGCAGTACTTGCAAGTCTACTGTGCAGGAAACCATTTATTTGCTGGTTACATTGAACAAGAAAACTGTCAAGAGGAGGCAAGATAAACCACTAACTAAGAAAAAATTATGCTTCCTCTCAAACTGTACATAATTCTTAGGCTCCTTGCATGGTGCAGGAAATAATAGAGAAAACTTTTCTATTGCCTAGAGGGAAAACTATACTTTTTATTTCTCTTAGTTAACTTCCTGAAGTAATTTAGAAATAGCCTGTGCCAAATATATATTCAAACTGAGAAGGTACAAATCATTTTAAGGTTCAAACAATTTATAGGCCAAATGAATATCCCATGCCAATCTTGTAAATAAAGACAACACATACAAAAAGGAAACAAAGATCAAAATAACAAAAACTGCTGCTTTCAGAATCAGGATATGCTAAAGGCAAAACTTAAAGCCAAGTTTTTTTCCCCTCCTGGGGAGATGAAGTATCCACCTTTTAGACTGTGTATGCTTTCCCCATGCTTCAAGACACATGCCAGTAGCACTTAGAAAAAATCCCATCACATTTCTAATAACTCAAGCAAATTCCTGTAAAACTAGTTATTTTAAATAGCAATATCGCATTTTAAAAATCAGGCACCAGATTTCCAGTGCAGAAATCTGTAAATATTAAAAAAAATGAAAGATTGTGCAACTGAAAATAAGATATATACTTTATAAAAATGACTTCCTGTGAGTTAATTTTTCTCTGAGAAAAATGTATATAACCAAAAAAGTCTCATTGGGCATAGGAAATGAAGGAGCAAGAAGGGAGGGGAATAATATATAAGAATAGGGCAGAGGGCTGCCTGCACTGGTGTCAGACTCACATTCACTATTCTGTGATATGAATGTTCATGTCCTTGGTTATTATTTCATGTACCAAATGGAGTGTTAAAATAAAGAAATAAAGTATAACGAAAAGATGGCCTCTTATTAAAACCAGATGGAACTATATTCTCAGGTGTTGAAAAGGGTTCTGTTTTACCATTTAAATGCTTAATGAGAGGTGCTAAAAATAGTAATGAGTAACCTTGGTTTTTGTACTTATTATAGAATTTCATTTATTCTAGGAAAAAAGAGAGTTGTATATCTGTCTACAGAGTTTTAGATCTTACATGATTTTACTTTGTAATGAATTTAGGCAAAACTATAACATTCCCCCCAATCACTTACATCTCTATAGCCATCCACCATGTTCCCAAAAATGTCTCCTGCTATGTCTCTACAACCAGCTGGGCAGAATTTGCTAAAAAAGAAAAGAAAAATGAATTCATATTTTATGGAATTATAGTTAAATGTAAAAGTATTAAAATTATACTTAAAATAATTTCTCCATAGAATACACAGAAGGGAATACCTTGCTTTAATGACAAGTCAGAAACCTGATTTATGAAAACACAGATTAATCTAAAATGTTACCCTGAAGGCAAATTTTACATAGCAATTATTTATTTTATATACAGATGCATTATATACCCTATTAAAAAAAATGAGCTTTCCTAAAGCATCTTAATGATTCTAAGTCCAAGAAAAAAAAATTTTAAAGCAAAATTTCTAGACACTATATATAGCAGGACCTCATCTTTATAAAAAGATATTTAAAATGTGTAAATAACTTACATTTTTTAATGGATAAAAAGAAGACAAGGAATTGCATCTCTGGATTCTAGTGGGATTTTAAGAAACTTTCACTTTTCGTGTTATTTTACTATGCAATATCTTGATTCACTCAAATAACACTACCCAATAGAAACATAATGAAGCCACATACGTAAACCTAAAGACTCGAATAGCCACATTAAAAATGTAAAAAGTTTTCTCATCTGCAGTTCCTTCAAGAGTCAACATATCAATAGGCAATGAATGACAGCTATACATCTATGAAAAACATGCAAAAAAAAAAAGTCAAAATACTGTAAGAACAATGGCAACTTTGAAGATGAAGGCCATATGCCCTTGTTTCTATATATACACTGCATTACGATAATGTTTACTCGGTTTGTTTAAAAAGAAATGTATCAGCCCAAACAGATTCCAAAATAGCAGTCGCTTTGACTTCATTTCCTTCCAGTTTCCTCCTGCTGACTTAGCAAATTAGATGAGTACCAACATGTAGTTATCAAAACTACCCACATAAATAACTCACAATTTTTTCCCATTGACCTAATGGAGTCCAGCATTGCAGCAATGATCAAGGAATTAAGAAATGAAAATAATGGGGAATCCTACTACAGGAATACAGATCATAGCCTTTAGAGACAGATTATTTCAGACTTTTTGGGTTTTTATTTTAGAAAGTAAGACAGTTCCAATGATGTATATTATGTAAGACCCTATGAGGGCTGCACATGTTAATAAAAACACTAAAATATCTGTGTCAAATACACAAATAGTCATATTAAGTCAAATACAGACTAAGTAGACACCTTAATTTTAGACCAATTTTGCTGTCAAATGAATTTAAGGTCACATTAATCAAGTATTGCCATCAAGTGAGTTACAAAATTTTTTGTCTTTCAAAGCTTTCTGCATTTCACAGGGATTGTGGACAGTTATTAGTCATTATACCTCATATTTACCTAAACACTACAAATGCTGGGCTACAACTTGGATCAGAGATTTTCAACCTTTGTCATCTCCTGGCACAAAAACATAATAACAAAAATTCTGCAGCACACCAAAAAAAAAAAAAAAAAAAAAAAAAAATTTTTTTTACTGATCTGACAAAAAAATAGTTATCATTTTGATTCATTCACACTGGATGGCTATTGTCGTATTGGCTATTGTCATGTTTTAAATTTGACAATGTAAGGGAAAAGAAGTCACTGTCCCTGACTAAATAGTCAGGTACTGCATGTTTTTGTTTTTTTAATATATTTTATTGACTTCTTACAGAGAGGAAGAGAGAGGGAGAGAGAGTTACAAACATCAATGAGAGAGAAACATTAATCAGCTGCCTCCTGCACACTCCCCACTGAGGATGTACCCACCACCAACGTACATGACCTTGACTGGAATCGAACCTGGGACCCTTGAGTCTGCAGGCTGATGCTCTATCCACTGAGCCAAATCGGCCAGGGCAGGTCCTGCATGTTTTAAAAATTCTTGCAGCCCACCAGTTGAAAATTGCTGGCTTAAATAATCTAGAACCGTTACCTTACTCAGTATATTCCCCTCTTTAGGACTGAAAATGATTACTGATGCTCAGCGGCTCTGTCACCGCTGACACTGTACAGGATCACTGAAAAGATCTCAGGGAATGTTGATGAATATTAACTATGGATGAAAGGCGACTTTATAGGGCAATATTTAATTATTGGTCACATTTATTTTCGTTTCTTTCGGTACTAGACTCAGAACTGATTAACACTAGAGTTGACTCTACTTGTAAAATAATCTCACTTACTAGAATGTCTGAGATGATTAGGACCATGCACTCTTGGGCCTAACGCTGAGTAGACTGAAGTGTGTAATCTTGGGCAAGTTACTGAACTGCTTTGTGCCTCTGTCTTTTGTGTATAACAGAACCTACTTTGTAGGCATGTTGGGACATTCACATGAGTTACTTTTATGCTAAGTCCAGGCACTAAGTACCTGGCCACAAAGAAAGCACTCTAAGGAGTTAGAGCTGTTGTTGGCAATGATCTCTAGGCCAGTGATTCTCAACGGGGTGTGAATTTTGCCCACTGAGAGACATTTGGCAATGTCCGGAGACATTTCTGGCTATCACACTGGCATGTAGAGGGTAGAGGCCAGGGTTGCTGATGAACATCCAACAACGCACAGAATAGCTCTTCACAACAAAGAACCATCCAACCTGAAATGTCAATGGTGCCAAGGTTGAGAAATCCTGCTCTAGGCTCTTTTACCTTATAGATGAGGAAATGTACATCAAAAAGATTAAGCCATTTTTCCAGTTAAAGCTGGGATGGAATGTTCATCTCCTGCTCTCAGGAGGTTTCTCTTTTGTGGGAAAGGCAAAATAAACCCTCCAAAAACAAAATAATTAACAAAAGTCACTACCCAATACAGGCTAGGTAAAAAATATTGGCTCACTGGTCCTTTGGTAGAACTCAGGGGTCAGCAAACTGGGGCTTACATCCAGCCTGCTGCTTGTTTTTGTAAACAAAGTTTTACTGGAACACAGCCCTGCTCATTTGTTTACATCTAGTCTATGATTACAATTGCAACAAAACTGTATGACTACATGCAAAAGAGACCGTGTGACTGCAAAACCTAAAATATTTACCACCTGGCCCTTGACAAAAAAGTTTGCTGACCTCTGCTGTATAAGAAACCATTTCAAATATTCCTCATGAGTTACAACATAGATGATTTACAAAAAATAAATACAAATAATGTCTGGTTTAATGTCAAGGTAAACAAAATGTTCAGCAACATATGCCTGCCGCCCAGCCAGCACACCCATATTTACCTGTATTCTGTCTCTGAAAAATGGTTAGCTCGGTCCAAACACGTTATCAAATCTGTCATAAAGATAATTGTAATTAGAAGACTGAATGGAACTTAAGATACCCAGGCTTGAAAGATATCTTTAAAATAAAACAAGATAATTTTTAAAAAGCATTTATTCTTTATAATTGATGAATATTATTCAGTTTAAAAAATAAGCAAAAACTAAGCACATCTGTAATAGTCTACAATAAAAATAAAGTTAAAAAAATCTAAATTGCAATCCCTTCACTTTTTTATATGGGGAAAGGTCTGTAGTTGGGGGAAAAACACAAACAAAAACTGAACACAGGGTCCTCAGGATTTAACAGTTCCTTCATCTCTCTTTCCTGCCACCAATGATGGTCTGTCAGTGGTTGTCCAGTGAGTGACAACACAATCTATTTCCAACACAAAAACCAACACCGGTTAGTTACTATCCACTACGTGCCTAGAAAGATCATGTGTATTCATTCCTTTGGCAGAAGGAAAACAATTTGAAAGCCCAGTGTAGTTCATAGAGAAGGTTCAGGAACATTGTAATTTAACAATTTAGCTGGAGACACCTGAGTGACCCAAGAACCAGGCGTTTAATGAAAACACAAATAGCCTCTCAACTTTGATCAATCAGGACCAAGGACTTAGCAAGAGGGTGCTCTTTGCATATGGAACCAAACTAATACTCAACAACAGAGATACTGTGGATTTTGATCCATTTTTATCAACCTAGTATAGTTTCCAAAATATTCCACACTTGCAATAGTTCTTTCTTTCCTTCACTTTTCAATCGTTCTTAAGGAGTAACATCTGGTAAACACTGGCTAGATCTGATTGGCTGGGAGGGCAATGCATGGTACACTCCCTTCCCAGAGTACTTCAGCCAGAGGGGACTGAAAGCAGAAATTCTGGGCACTTCTATGCCCTGGGCAGACATGGGTAGGCTGCATGGTCATTACTCTGAAGTACCAGAAGCCTGGCCAGAGCCTATGCCTCCGTTCTCTCCTGCTCAAGTGTCAGCTGCATGGTTAGGGGACTTGGTGATAGTGACCACACCCTGCTCATACTCACACTCCTCCGGCTATGCTGGTGCACTGGTGTGTGTGTGTGTGTAAAGAGGTGTGGGTGTTTGATCAAATGCGTATCCTAAGCTAAGAAACAGGCTGCTGGAGGACTCCAGAGAATAGCTAGACTTCAGAAGGGTGACAGGGTCCCAAAGATGCTCTACCCAAGGCTACTAGGAAAATGAAATCAACTCTCTTATGTCAGTTGATCAACTTAACATGTTCTATAAAAGCATTCAATTCAGACTCAACTACAGATAATGCATACTTCTTTTGCCTCACTTCTTTTTAAAAAAAAATCTTATTTTTTATTAATTTTTTTTACGGAGAGGAAGGAAGAGGGATAGAGAATTAGAAACATGGATGAGAGAGAAACATCGATCAGCTGCCTCCTGCACACCCCCTACTGGGTTTGTGCCTGCAGCCAAGGCACATGCCCTTGACCGGAATCTAACCTGGGACCTTTCAGTCCGCAGGCCAATGCCCTATCCACTGAGCCAAACCGGGTAGGGCTTGCCTCACATCTTAATGGCATTGCATTCCTCTCTTGCCTCACATCTTAATTCTATATCTGAGGTAACAATTCTGTCCAGAGATAGGGATAAGTAGTGAGGCATTCTTAGACAGATAAAGGTATACAGGTTTGTGTTGATGCTTCTGCTATACCTGGATGGTCACTGCTGGCATAGGTGAGCAAAAAGCCCCGCCCAGAAGTGTGGGATCCACTTGCAAAGCGAACAGTTATTTCATTTGTGTCCAGCACGAGTTCTTTGGGAACATTCATACTTCCACAATATGGTCCTAAAAATAAAGCACATTTTTGGCACATTTCAAAATTTAGACCAGCACAAAGAATTGGTATATGGCATTTTTCTCTCCGTTAGTGGTCAAATTTACCAGACAAACACAAATGTAAGATTGTAAAAATCACTCAACTGGAATTTTGTTTAATACTGAGACTGATAGTGAACCTGATTATACGGACAAGCCAAGGGGGGAAATGGCTAACTCTAGAAAAGTAATAGACTAGAGCTAGTTAGCTGTGAACAACCCAAGAAACGGGATTTTTGTAAAAAAAAAATAAGACTAACAAATAAAAGTCAAATACATGTAGTAGTACAAAAAAATTTTATCACCAAAGTGATATTCTAGTGATATTCTCTTAAACTTGCTTAAAGTACTATTTACATGTTTGTGTCCCCTCAAAATTCATGTATTGAAATCCTAATACCCCAATGTGATGGTCTTAGGAGGCAGGGACTCTGGAAGGTGCTTAGGTCATGAGGGTGAAGCCCCCATGAATGGGATTAGTGCCTTTATAAAGGAGGCCTCCAAGAGCTTGCTTGCCCCTCTGCCATGTGAAGACACAGAGAGAGGCTATGAATTTGGAAGTGGGGCCACTGTAGTGAATCTGCCTGCACCATGACTCCCAGCCTCTGAATGAAATAAATGTCTGCTGTTTTTAAGCAATTTAGTCTGAGGTATCTTGGTAACCAACTAAGACAGGTAGTAAATTAAAAAAAAAAAAATGTTATCACAAAAATGATATTCTAAGGGTCTCTTAAATTTGCTCCAAGAAAATAACTCCCTATTTTAAGGAGATTCCAGAAGTGTCTGTCCAATGCATGGCAAACGTCATATTCCCATGCAGCTTTTTCCATACACATTGATCTCTTTCTCGCCGTAGCTCTGGTTAACCTGTATGATTTATTTTGATTTATAAAATAAAGTTCATAAAAAGCAGAATAGTTTTTAAAGCCTTTGAAATTCCATAAAATAAATTATGCAATTAAGAGTATTACACATTGTTTCTAGAATAAGTTGCTTGAAAAGCAATAGGAAATTCAATGAACTTTCAAAGGACAAAATTAAATTTGGAACTAAAAAGGAAATAAAATACCTTCCCAATACTACTCAACTTAAAGTTTAGTTGTCATCTTAAAAGTCGTGTATGTAAGACACAATAATTTCCCTGAAAACAGGAATTAGCAAGCAGATCTAAATAATTTATTTATTAATGAGGAAGGGAGGTCAGGAGGGAGAGGGAGACTGATTCTTGTATGTGCCCTGACAGGGTATCAAACATACAACCTCAAGGATGAGTTTTTCTTACGAAAGCCTTTCTATGCCCAAATGATATGGTTACTGTTAGTGTTCTCCATCCTGACTTGTAAAAAGGGTCTACAACTATCCTTAAACATTCCCAAAGACAATATCATTGGAAATTCAAATATGAGCTTGGTAACTTCTAACTTTGACCAGGGTTCTATTCTCCATCCTGGGCTGTGTTCCTGGATTGGCGAACCCGCCTTGGCTCACAGTCAGACTGGGTCCTAAAACGATTAGCAGACCTAAGTGCAGGACTCACAGTTCTGCTTCCCATCTGCAGGTACTGTGTGTTCCGTAGACCTGGACTTGCCATCTAACTCCCCTCGCCTCTATCCTTGCCTGCGAGGCAGGTTCCATCCTTCTTTATGGCCTCAAATTCTCTCCCTCTGGAGCACAGCAGAAAGGTGCCTCATCAGGGAGGCTGAAAAATCAGGAAAAATGAATACTTCTCCCTCTTGTGGAATGTGATTGTAGGCTTGGATTGTGGGAAGAGCTATCAATGATTTAGAATGGACTAGCCCTGTGGCATTTGGCACCTGACATGATGCCCAGACAATGGGCTAATCCCTTGGACAAAAGGAAGAAAGGTCCCGGAACCACAGGGGCTGACTCCTTTGAGCACAGTAGGCCAGTTCCTCTCAACACATCCCTTGTTTGGGGCCACTGTTCCATGAGCAGCTGAGGGAGGAAACCCTTTATCTTCCCTCATGTGAATAAAAGAAAACTGTCCAACAACGAAGAATGCACCATCTGCTCAGAGCCATGCCCAGAGCCCTCCATCCTCTGGCAATCGGACACTGGTGCAGCCATTTCTAGCAATGCTCCATTCTCCAGGGGTCACCTGCCTGAGTCCCTGGACATTCCAAGGCAGTCACAGTAGGGTTAATTACTCTTCCAAGTCACTTCAGATAGGTCTATGCTTTTGAGCTTGAAACCGATGGAGCTAAATTATTGTTTCATCTGTGAAAGGGATGTGTTTTAAAAATGGATACATACTGTTGAGAGAGAGAGAGAGAGAGAGAGAGAGAGAGAGAGAGAGAGAGAGAGACCCCTCCCCCTGCATAACTACTCTCAGTGGTAAAAAAAACAACACAGAGACCAAATGAAAACTCAACTCCTGAGAGATCTGTCCTAAATCAGACAACAAAAAATCCTCCTGAAAACCTTCAACTTTATAAGCATCTTCTGAAGCACACATTTAATTTCTTATGACAGCAAAAAGCATGCCAGTGGGCCTAAAGGGCATTCCCCAGGAGTGCCCTGACAGCGCCAGCCACGGCCCGCCTTCAGCCGCCAGGGAAGTGGCACCCAGCGCGGGTCAGATCTGCTCTCAGGGCCGCGTGCTGACACCATCTGCAGAAACGCTGAGGCTGCAGAGGCCACGCCACTGACTCCCGTCCCTTTTCCATTTGTTTTTTTTTCTCTTTTTTTTTTTCAGTGCAGTCAAATGGCAAGGCTTGTCCTTGCTGGCTAATTGCAATGGTGTCATTGTCCAAAATTACTGAATTTTCAGGGCCATTTTCTTTGAAAAGGAAGGAAATTAACATGAAAAAGGGATATTCCTGGACTGCGCTATTAACACCATAGTCACGTAAGAATGTAAGCGGTGTCCCTGGAGAGTGTGGGTCTCCCGTTCCCAGACAAAAATCAGTGACAGATGATAAATGGACCAGGCGGATTCCTAGACAAAGGTGTGGCTTGCCTTGGGGCCAAGGCACGTCAAGAAGTGCCCTAACACTGGAGCCCACAACCCACCTAGGCCATTACTTCCCCCCAACAAAAGAGGGTAATTACTGAAACCAAATCACAGTGCGGTCTCCAGGGAAGTATTTGGGGGAAAAGAGGAGGAGGAAGTTCGAGCCTTTTCTCCTGGAGGCTTGTGATGATGTTAATAAGATGTCTAGTGTGGAACATTCTGGCTGATATCAAGTTTTCTATAAGTCTGAAATTCTTCTGAATGCTATCTTGGCACAAAAGGCAAAACCAAATCAAACCATCAAAAAATATCCACCAAAGTACACTCAATCCTAGAGAGGAATGCGATTCTAGGGTGTTTGAGGCTCAAAACAACTTTCTATACAAGCTGGAAATTTCTTCAAAGGCTTTTGTTGTCTCTTTAAAAGTCATACGAATTGTCTGTTCTCCATGATATGACCGGTAGAGACATAACCCATTTGTTAAATAGAAGCTGCCAATCTTGTGTTTTCTTTATTTGGAATTTAAAAAAAAAAAAATCTACAGACAACACATAATGTTTGGATCTTATTATGGTATGCCAGCTATGTATTATTCCAAAATACTATCACAGAAATCTTGTTGCAATTGTGAGGCAAAACACCAAGTATTATTTCCTACTTTCCCATTTCTCTTGTTCCTAGTGTAATACGAACATGAACAGTTGACTTCACATGGTTTTACTTCTTGAGTCTCTGACAATGGTTAAAGGAATATTGGGGGTGGAGGTGGAAGTGCAGGAAATGTAAAAGAACAATTCTGGAATTTCCTGATTTTCCTACAGTGCAAGTCATTTATCAGAACACAACTAATTTAACTGACTATAATTAGGTTCACTGGCCATGGTGCCTCCTTAAGCATTTTGACTAAGTATTTTGAAATCATAAATTTATACTGATACTGGTATGGAAGTGATTTTTCAGAAACCCATGGGAAAGGCCCTCAGCAGTGTTTACTTCTTCCAGCAAATGATAACCAAGAACTACAGCTCAGATCTTATGCACAAGCCTCTGATCAGATTGATGGTTGTTGCCGCACCAAATTGGGAAGGTTTAAGAGAAGGGTCTCTGAAGTCAGATGCCCAAACTTGAATGCTAGCACCAGTTAAGGAGTCATAAGCATGTCACTTGACCTTTTAAAGCTGCAGTTTCCTTATGTATGGATGTTACAAACAGGTCTTCTCTCCCCGAGGGCTATTGTGAAGGTTAAATTAGTAGCTCTAAGGACTAAACCCAGCATATACCCTGTTTCTCCAAAAATAAGACAGCGTCTTATATTAATTTTTGCTCCCAAAGTCATACGAATTGTCTGTTCTCCATGATATGACCGGAAGAGACATAACCCATTTGTTAAATAGAAGCTGCCAATCTTGTGTTTTGGATATAAGCTAGCACTGGATAATATTGGCTAAAATATTTCTACTGCCCTCTATTTCAACCAGCGCTAGGTCTTATTTTCAAGGGATGTCTTATTTTTCCATGAAGAAGAATACGGTACACATTTATTGTTAAATGAAAATAAAGGAAATTTATTACCTGTATACAGTATGGTAGTACGGTAGTTGTCAACAGAAACCAGACAAACTGTGAATCCTACAGTATCAAGAATTTACTCATTTATTCAAAGATAATCATGTCCTCATCTTCTGGAACATCATCATAACAATCCAATTCCTGAATTTCCTGGTGAATTTCTTGTGACTCCATTTCTTTCAGAATCGGTGGACCAAATCTCTGATGTTTAGCAATAGCACTGTCTTTAAATGAGCACTTCTTGTCAAGGTAGCCTGCTCACAGTGCATTTGCAATGCAACTGTCAGTGATTTTCTCCCATGAATTCTTCACCCAAGTCACAACTTCTTGCAGTTTAGGTTTCACAAAGTTTCTGAGACAAAGCCTAGGGGGGGCCTTATTTTCAGGGGGATGCCTTATATTTCACTCAGAAGGAAACCTGTAAGTAGGTCTTATTTTCAGAGGATGTTTTATTTTCGGGGAAACACGGTAGTATATAGTTGAATGCTTAGTCGCAGGCACCTTCTACATTATTTATAGTCTTTTCTCTATTATAGAGTCCTAAAATTTTATGTAAATCAAGTCCTTCTTTCAATGCAGTCAGGATGTTTATAGGTAGAGGAATCTTCCTGTGAATCTTCTTGCAGTGTGAACAAATCCACATTTTTAAATATGTCTGCCAAAACTGAGCTACATGCAATGTGATTCATTAAAAGTAGACTGAGCATTTTTAATTACAAGACTACGCTATACAATAGGGGATTCTACAAAGATAAATAAAATGCAATTCCTTGCTCAAGGAACCCCTTATTTGGTAGAGAAGCTAATATAATGATCTCAACCTGAGATTGGTGCTCTACTGAAGGCTTAGAAAAACAACACGAGCCTTAACTGGTTTGGCTCAGGGGGAATAGCCTCAGCCTGCGGACTGAAGAGTACGGGTTTGATTCCTTTCAAGGGCAGGTACTTTGGTTGCAGGCTCCTCCCAGGCCAGGGTCATGGTTGGGGTTCGTGAAGGAGGCAACCAATTGATGTGTCTCTCCGTCTTACTCTCTCTCTTCCAATCTCCCTAAAAAAACAATGGAAAAATATCCTCAGGTGAAGATTAACACACACACACACACACACACACACACACACACACACACAACTACAACAACAACAACATGAGCCCCAGAGCCAATGACTAGAGTTGATGGACCTCAAAGAAGGTTCTAGCGTGGATAGAACTGGATCTGCAGGCATTGTGTCATACCAATGTACCTACATTTAAAATATGAGAAAAAAGTATTTAACATTGTTTTACGTACAACATTGAAGAGGAAAGGCTGTGAATTCATATTGAAGATCATTATTCTCATCGTTAAAAATCTGTAGTGACTGCCACCCTTCCAAGCCCTCTGGTAAGGTACCACAACAGATGGAGAGCTTTGAATTCAGAGGTGTGTGTGTATTTTGTTATTGTTTTGTTTTTGTCATCACTGCTACCTGGGACCCCAGAGGAATGGTCATTCCTGTTTTCCTGATATTTCAAGAAGATTGACTGGGTCCCAGTTTTCCCCTGGTGGGGAATTTTAGTGTTGTTCCTGGATCCCTAAAAACCTACTGGAAGAGCCTTGATGGGAACCAGGTGCTTGGCTCCTCAGGATCTTGAGAGACCTTGCTCTCAAGATCCCCTTATACTCCCCCACTCAGGTCTCTGTGATATTTGAAAGGGAGAGTCAGTGTCTTAACTTAGCCATCGATAGATAAGTACACTCTCCTAATTGATGCTTGAATCTGAAATATGAGCCATAATGATAATACATGACAAGCAGAATGATAATAACCCCTTCTTGCATGTGTCAGGCCTTTTCACATCAATGAGATCAAGTGCATCTTTTGCTTGATCACTGTCAAAGCTGGTGTGGGCACACCGCTTACAGTGCATTTTGCTGCCAGAGGAGTGTGGATGATAAAAAGCATGGGAAGTATATGAACCAAACATTTCAGACAATTGGCCTCGGGATGAACCATTAAAAAAAGAACTGCAACTTAGTGATTACAACTGCAAAATTTCAGCATATTCACAACGATTACGGCAATCACATTCCAAGGAGGTCCACTCTTGGCAGAGCTTTCAGACACCAATGCCAGAAAACATTACTCTTTTTCAAAACTTTAACTGCATATTCAAAAGTTGGAGAGTGTTGAATCTTAAAATCTCTTGGCCCTGGGTTTTAGCAATAAATTAGTGAAATAAATTAGTTAGTGAAAAATTAGCAATAAGTTAGTTAGTGAAAAATATTGAGCAGGATAAACTAAAATTATTCAGCTGTTTTAGCCAAACATGTAATCACAACAGCCATCAAATTCCAGAATTTCAGGAGGTATTCAAACATAAGGTCTCCCCTGTAGCAGCACCTCAGTGGGCACCCCCTCTACCAGACCCAGGAAATAGTACCATGGGTCCCTGGAACCCTGAGCTAACGCTAGGGACCACCCTCTAGAGTCATGCCAGTGTCTGTGGCAATGTAAGCTTCTGAGGGGCCTCCCACCCTCCCATAGAGCTGGGCAACAGCCCAGGAATGCCCACTCCCTGAGCTCGAATGCAGGATCACAAAGCACCATGCCTCCTCCTCCTCCTCCTTCGTGGTGGATTGATTTACTTTTAAAATCATTTATTCTCCAAGTATCTACTACATTCAAGACACTGGATTAAATATTATAAGTACTACACATATATAAATAAACAACTTCTCCCAAAATGCTCTTCAAAACCACAAAAGATGCAAACATATACATGCAACATATATGATATATGCATGTGTATACTTGCTACGTGCCCTTAAACCACTTAATTCTTTTAAAAATATGCTTATATGATTGAAATATTCTAATTTCCTGTTCATGTATTCCTCTTATTGCTCACTTCTGCTCTCCTCGTCTGCTGGATTTGCCCTGGCATGACTAATCAAAAAATCTTTAAAGTACCCACAAAAGAAATTCTCAGCATCATTAAATATTTTATCTTAAAAACATGTTCGAAGTATTAATGACACCTGCACTTGAAACAAAATTGCTATATATGTAATAGTGGGCTGGTCACCTGGAAAAGGTAATAATTTGTTGGGAGTTTTCTTTAGGTGGTGGAACCAAGAGAAAGGAGGGCACATCTGGAGCCACAGGGCAGATATAAACCTTTCTTTCTGCCCTGTCTAGCTGTGCGAACCTTGGCGTTTTCCTTAAATGTCATAGTGATGCAGTTTCGTACAAAGGAGTTAATATTTATCTGGCAGGGAGCATGTAAGGGTGCAGGAACAATCTATGTGAGGGCCCAGCATGTAACTGGATACAAAAGACGCTGACTATGTTTATGTCTACAACTAGAGGCCTGGTGCACAAAATTCGTGCGTGGGGTTGGGGGTCTGGGATATCCCTCAGCCCAGCCTGCACCCTCTCCAATCTGGGACCCCTCGAGGGATGTCCGACTGCCTGTTTAGGCCAGATCCCATAGTGAGGAAGCCTTCTGACCTTCTGACCATCCCATTCGAAGTAGCACAAACAACTCAAAAATAGGCTCCATCTTACCTTAGAATGGTTTCTTTTTCTCATTCTCGTTTTTCTTTCTCACAATCACTCACATGATAGATGCATTTGTTTGTTTTCCTTCCTTCCCTCCCCTCCCCACCAAGGCAAGCTCCATGGAGGAGGAACTCTGTGGGGTTTTTTTGTCACTGCTATATCCCAACCCGTTTCTCACGGAGTTCCTGAACCCAGGATCACTAGTCAATAAATATTTGTCACAGGAATGAATGCATCACAGATGTTCTAGCCAAGAGCCATACATCTCCGATTCTCTTCCCAGCAAGATACATACTCAGACAAAGCTCCTGAGGCATGCACACCAGGCTAACGGTAACATCTCCTCAGATGTCTTTGTTGCAGCTTATGAAGCAAATGTACCATGTGAGCTACCCCAAGAGTTTGCAAAACTCAAGTTTCTCTCCTAATGTTCCCAGGCTATTTTACCAAGACACAGACAACCTCCTTCCCCCAAACTGCAAATGCTTTCATGCACATGGAAACCTCGGTCTCTTTCCTTACCATACTCATGGGAATTGTTGGTGAAGAGGAGGTAGTCAGAAGCACATGTCTGGGACTCAATATCCAAATCTCCTAACCTCAGAATCAACTTCTTCCCCTTCGGCACTGTGATTGTCTTCTCACACGTCGTGTGGTTGGGGTAAGTCCGTGGATAATTCTTAGATGTCATGGTGCCACTGTTCAGATAGGACACTATGTGCCCACAGCCATCACCTGTTAAAGAAAAGGGATGTAAGAAGTAAAATTCGCTGTTCCTGAGAATTGAGAATCCAGTACAATTCCCTAGTCATGTATTTTCTTCCTTCTTTGAAAAAAATTAAGAATAAGATTAAGTTATTACGCAGTATGTATTGTTTCACGTTAGTACATCTCTTGTTTCCCAGGTTAATCTTTGGAACAGTTCATCCAAAGGTTTCGTATTAGAATGGGAAGCCAGTATTAGCAAACACATCATTTTATCGTGTTACTTTTTCAAATCATCTATCTATTTGAACTGGTAGAGTGGGCCCTGGGCATTCGCAGATTTTGTGGTTTTAGCAAGCCAATGTCATGTAAAAATCTGCGATGGAGAAAATACTATTACTTACTTCAGAGTTACCGTGAAGATTAGGGCAGATAACGTATGTGAAACCTGTCATTGGCAGAATCTAAGACTTAGGCTGAGAGGACTTGAACAGCCTATCATTTAGCTGGGAACTAGCAATCACTCAATATTCATATCTCACTAATGACAGTTACGATTGATGGTCCCTGATAGACTCGGGCTGCATCATCAGAGAAAGTCAAGCATCTCCTACACCAAGTGCTGGCCACACACCAGACCTGTGGGAGACACACAAAGCAGCAGTGGCTGCTTCATGGACCCGAGAGGAAAATGGGAGACAGTCACATGTGCAAATAACTATAACACTAGATGCTTTGTGCCATATCAGGGGCTTCAACAAAGTGCTGAGGCAGACAAGAAAGAATCTCTTTTAGTGAAATATCACTACTTCATTAAAATAACAAATTCTCTTAAGACTTCTCTGAACAAGAAAGGTCACCAATTGACCGAAAAGTTGCCCTAGTAGGTTAAAGTGACCAAGTTAATCATTCCAGTATCCAATGAGCATGCGCTGCACTCAAACGCCAGAATGCCTGTGGTTAGCACAGCTTCACATAAAACAACAACAACAAGAATTCCTACCCTGAGGGAGGGAGCAGAAGCAGAAATCATTTGGAGAAGGAACTCTGTCAGGCAGGAAAACAAGGTCTCTCCACAGAAGCCCCAACTAGGGTATAAGGGCAGCTAAAGACGAGGCAGCCTTCTCCCTTCTGCTGCCTCTTCCCTAAGCTAGAGGAGGACTCACCCTGTGGGCATCCTTCATTCCACTCCGTTCTTGCAGCTCAGACAATCATGGAGGTCCAGGCCACAAGAAACATCTGGGGGTAGGCCAAGGAACACCACTTCAGCAGACCAGTGTAGGGAGAGGACCCACCCATTCTCCAGAAAAGCCCACAAGGTTCTGAACAGCCTGGCCAAGAGGTTGGATTGAGGGAGAGTTGACCTTAAGGAGATGGGGTTAGAGAATACCAGGGAAATGTGGATGGATAACTACGATGAAACTACTCTGCAACTCGGAGATCCGGACAAAAATGGTGGGATTTTTACTGTAGGCAACAGGGATCCAAAACAACTTTTTGAGAAGAGACTTCATGAGGTGTTTGAAAGAGGTATTTGAGAAAGTGGGCCCACCCTGGCTGGGTAGTGATAGGAACTAGAACACAGGGAGAATCTGGGTCAGAGGAGCAGTGGTAGGGCTAGAAACAAGCTAGCTAGGAGAAGGAAGAGAAAGGAAACCCAGAGAATTTATCACACACAAAAAAAAATATGAACAGACTTGAGTTTGTGGTGGGAAAGACAAGAGGAGAAATAAACACTAAAACTTGGAGCCCAGAAATGATTGGAACACCGAGGTTAATATAGACAGAAAGGGAAGCCTGGGGAGCACACAGGTTTGGAGCAAAGGTAAACTGGTTTGTTGAATTGGAGGTGATCGCTGTATTTCTTGGGCTTTCTGGCAGTAAGTACATTACTTTCAGATCTATGCTGATAATTAAATGAAAAATCATAATAGAGGGAAGCATACAATGGGGAAGCACATAATGCACAGGTTTTTTCATTTAAAAAGTGAATTATTTCCTGATTTAAAAGGCTTTCATTTAAAAAATTGTCCAATTTACAGTTTCTTATGAAAACTGGAAGACATGGTAACCAAGCCAACAGGCATTCTCAAAGAGCTAGCAATCTGGTGACTCTCCCTTTAAAAGAGACAAACACCCAGCCTTGGGGTGTGTGGCTCAGTTGTTAGGGCAACATCCTGGTTCAATTTCTGGTCCAGGGCACGTGCCTGGGATGCACAGGCTCCATCCCTGGAGATGGGGCATTCGGGAGGCAGCCAACTGACATTGTGCTCTGGCATTGATGTTTCTCTTTCTCTCTCCCTTTCTCTCTCTCTCTCTCTCTCTCTCTCTCTCTCTCTCTCTCTCTCTCTCTCTCTCTCTCTCTCGTAAATAAAATAAAATAAAAGAGACAAACACCCTAGCTCCCTACCAGGTCCTGGCCACTCATTTTTGACTTGTCCCGTCCTTGGAGGCATTAATTTTGAGCACTTGAATAGAGCAGCACTAGGGTAACTGGAGTACAAACAAATGATTGTGCATGTAAATCTGCACTAACCCTTCCTAAGCCACCAAGATGCCCGCTGGTAAACATGAAATGCCTCTTTTCTTGGTACAGTGAAATTCTGCTTCAATAAGAGAAGAGCAGGTGGAAACATTTTCTAGATAACACGACGAAATGATATGTGACTCAACCTCCACGTGATTATTGTATTCTAAATTTTAAGTGACATGTTATGACAAAGAAAAATCGTACGGGGTCACTTCTATTCATTTTACTAGGTGCAATGATGGTGTGAAAGTGAACTAAGAAATCGGTGTCTTTAGGGATGCCTACTGAGATAGGTAGGGCTGACATGACACAATGACATAAGGTCTGTCAGGGTTTATCTTAAAAAATGTGCTTCAGCAAAATCGGGAGAGAAGGATAGGAAAACGCTGATGGTTGCTGTAGCTGGATGTGAAGGTTCCCGAGCTTTGTTCTGTTTTGTTTTTAATTAAAATGAAAACAAATGCAGGCCAGTCTTTAAGGGAAGAGAGACAATCTTGCTTTTGTGATTAGCCTCCACCTGGTGCTGGGAGGGCTGGCGGGCAGCGAGCCACCGAGCCACCGTGCTGCGGGGCTGGAGGTGACAGCCACCGTCCGGTGCCACCACCTGCCATCAAAGGGGGGAAGTGGAAGCGGCCCCACAGGGATCTGCCTGCTCTTCAAAAGTGGCTGCCGCACCATGTTTACCTTTTTCTTCCCGGTAATTTAATTGCCAAAACATATGATGACTAAACCATGTGTCATTTCCTCCTCGCCTTAGACTGCAAGCTCCCCGCTGGGCAGGATTTGAAGAGTCGTCTTTCCAGTGATGGGCTTCAGTCCTGGGGTTCATTCAGAGCCAGAGCGGGTTTGTGAGGCTGACCAACGACATTCCCCACACAACTTACAAATATAAAGCTGCAGGGGTGACGTTGAGATTTTAGGGGGGGAAAAACCAGCAAGTACTTACTCATATAACTTCCCATGTGACCTCTGTATAAAATTTAAGTGTTTTTCTTAAAATATATTTTTAATGATTTCAGAGAGGGAGAGAAAGAGAGAAACATCAATGATGAGAGAGAATCATTGATTAGTTGCCTCCTGCATGCCCCCCTACTAGGGATGAAGCCCACAATCCAGACATGTGCCCTTGACCGGAATCAAACTCGGGACCCTTCAGTCCGCAGGCTGATGCTCTATCCATTGAGCCAAACCAGCTAGGGCCAAAATTTAAGTATTTTAATTCTAAACATTTGGAAACAACTTAAATTGGAAAAGAACAATCAAACTAGGATACCTCCAAGCAATGTCATATGAAGGAAAAGTTAGGCTCATGTTTTAGAAGACGATTTAATTTGTTTTTGGAAGTCAGACCTATTGCTACGTGTGATGCTCAAAGAAGTGAAATGGCTTAAAGCCATAGAGTTAGTAGAGGTGCAGATGGGTATGAACTCATGCTCCAGAGTCCACACGGTTAGCCAGAATAGAAAGGCCCGGTGAGCCAAGTAACAAACTTCGGGTGAGGAGTGGGGCCTCTCTGTCCCTTGGTCAGAATCTGGGCAACATCAGGGCTGAAGTGTCAATGCCACATGGCTTTCTGGATGGGCCCGGTCAGGCAGCAGAAAAGGGGGCAAGCTTTTGTAGAAGACTATTTATTTTTATTTTTAAATATATTTTACTGATTTTTTTTTTTTTTTTTTTTTTTATAGAGAGGAAGAGATAGGGATGGAGAGTTAGAAACATCCATGAGAGAGAATCATCTATCAGCTGCCTCTTGTACACCCCCTACTGGGGATGTGCCCGCAACCAAGGTATATGCCCTTGCCCGGAATCGAACCTGGGACCTTTCAGTCCGCAGGCCAACACTTTATCCACTGAGCTAAACCAGTTTTGGCAAAGACTATTTTTAAAACAGAATATAGAGTTCACACATAGACATGAAGGAAAAAAGTTTATTTCTATGACTGGGATCACAAGTAATTTTTATTTTGTTTATACATTTATTTGCTATATTTCCTACAATAGGAAACATTATATGTAAATAATTAAAAGTTCTCTCCAAAAGTACAAAATTCACCAAATGTTTTTTATAGCATGAAAGGCTACATTCAGCATTAGCCGTATAGACACTAATATACCCAAATTGTCATTAAAAACTCAGTCCACAAGTAGCGAGGGATGTGGTATCATGTAGCTCCCATTTGCAGCTGCTCACAGTCAAGGGGAGAGGTATGTTAACAAGTCATTCCTGACAGTAAAATGACAGGCCCAAAGCCAGAAACACGGGCTCAATAGCTGTTCTCCAAGTGCCCTGAATGAATGAATATGCCTCTGGCTCTCTGTCTTTGCCATCAGCTATTTGGGAAGTATGGATATACAAGGTATTTTTAACATAAGTCTAAAACAAATCCTAGATGCTTATCTACGTGAGTCAACCATTTATTTAGTCTACTGTAATTCCACCAAGAAAGCAAAACAATAACTTCCTTAAAAGACTATTTGCTTTTGATAAGAAATCATATTC